CGGTCGTGAGAGATGCCGACATTTTGTAAAACTTATGCGAATCACTCACTATTTAATTCTTTTTAATGATTATTTTCAACACACAAATATTAACTTTAACGTTTGATTCATCTACGACTGCAATTTACTTTCTTATCACGAAAATGTCTAGTAGTAATGACATTTAACTACTTGACACAAACGTATTTGCGCAGTAGTTAAACAACAAACGGCGCATGCGTGACCTCTGTCACCGGTCGTGAGAGATGCCGACATTTTGTTACACTTATGCGAATCACTCACTATTTAAATTCTTTTTAATGACTATTTTTCTACGCACGAATATTAACGTTAACGAATGGCAGAACGATCTCAGTAGTTTAATCACTCACTATTTTAATTTGTTTCAAGTATTATTTTTCAATACACAATTATTAACGTTAATTTTAACGTTTGATTCATCTACGACTGCAATTTACATTCGTATCACGAAAATCTCTAGTAGTAATGACATTTAACTACTTGACACAAACGTATTTGCGCAGTAGTTCAACAACAAACGGCGCATGCGTGACCTCTGTCACCGGTCGTGAGAGATGCCGACATTTTGTTACACTTATGCGAATCACTATTTAAAATCTTTTTAATTATCATTTTTCAACACACAAATATTAAAGTAAACTTTTATTGCTTCATCTACGACTGCAATTTGTTTTCAAGTCACGAAAATCTCTAGTAGTGATGACGTTTAACTTGACACAAATGTATTTGCGCAGTAGTTCGACAACAAACGGCGCATGCGTGACTTCCGTCACCGGTCGTGTAACTCCCTAGTAACGCGAATCACTCCCTATTTTAAATCCTTTTCAATACACAAATATTAACGTTAATTATTTGTTTGATCTATGACTGCAATTTGCTTTCTAATCACGAAAATCTCTAGTAGTGATGATGTTTAACTTGGCACAAACGTATTTGCGCAGTAGTTCGACAGCAAATGGCGCAAACCTGAGTTTGTCATCGGTCGTGAGAGTCGCCGACATTTTGTTAGAGTAATGCAAATCATTCACTATTAAATTTTTTTCAAGTATTACTTTTCAATACACAAATTAAATATGCACGTTAACTTTTGTTTCATCTACGACTGCACTAAGTAAATTATTATTTTTCAATACACAAATATTAACGTTTGATTCATCTATGACTGCAATTTACTTTCTAATCACGAAAAACTCTAGCAGTGACGACGTTCAATATGACACAAAAATAGTTGCGCAGTAGTTCAACAACAAATGGCGCATGCGTGACCTTTGTCATCGGTCTTGAAAGATGCCGACATTTTATGTTACACGCATGGGAATCACTCACTATGTCTTTATTTTTCAATAAGCAACTATTAACGTTAACTTTAACGTTTGCTCCATTTACGACTGCAATATATTTTTTAATCACCAAAATATCTGATTGTGATGACGTTTAACTTGACACAAAAATATTTGCGCAGTAGTTTAACAACAAACGGCGCATGCGTGACCTCTGTCATCGGTCGTGAGAGATGCCGACATTTTGTTACACTTATGCGAATCACTCACTATTTAAATTCTTTTTAATGACTATTTTTCTACGCACGAATATTAACGTTAACGAATGGCAGAACGATCTCAGTAGTTTAATCACTCACTATTTTAATTTGTTTCAAGTATTATTTTTCAATACACAATTATTAACGTTAATTTTAACGTTTGATTCATCTACGACTGCAATTTACTTTCTTATCACGAAAATCTCTAGTAGTGATGACGTTTAACTTGACACCAACGTATTTGCGCAGTAGTTCGACAGCAAACGGCGCATGCCTGATTTTGTCACCGGTCGTGAGAGACGCTGACATTTTGTTACACTTAAGCGAATCACTCCCTATTTAAATTCTTTTTAATGACTATTTTTCAACGCACAAATATTAACGTTAACTTTTATTGCTTCATCTACGACTGCGATTTGCTTTCAAATCCCGAAAATCTCTTAGTACGAGAGCCCACGACCAAAACCATGTCTCATAGCAATACGGCAAAAACCCTATAAAATCGTTAGATTGTATGATTCTGAACCCGACTAGGTGTGTAGTAACGGTCGAAAGTGTAGCAACTGCGTGGGAGGCCATTTCTGCTGTGTCAAAAAAAAAGACAGTCGGTATTATAGCAATACGTCTGATAGTGAAAATGTACATAGATTTTATAATTGTATTACGAAAAAGTTTGTTTTCAGACATTTTGCGCGTAGCATATAGCCTGAGCGCATTTTTGAAAATGTCAACAAATTTAGCCGACCTGTATCATAGCAATACGGATAAATTTTTTTCTCAACTTTTCGTATTGCTGCCATGATTACCAAAAACCTGTTTTCAGACACTTTAAGTGTATCAAAAAGTTGTATGATAGAGAAGGTGCTACACTTAATTTGTCTGATATAAATTTTTTGCACATGTGGACAACTTATTTTATCATGTCCAACAATTTTCAGACATATTGCTATGATACCGATCGGTAAAATTTGTTAACATTTTCAAAACAGTCTCAAAATTTAATGCGTTCACATTTCCGTCTGAAAATTGTTTTGTTCGCATCAAATAACCAAAATTTACTAATAAAAAAGATTTTCAGACGTATTGCTATGAGACATTTTTTTTGTCTCATTTTTAATTTTTTTAAGTGATTTTACGGGTTTGCGCTACACCACTAACGTCTGAAAATAATGTTTCCGGTATCTCAGAACTATCATTCAACTACAGTCTGCAAATCAGACATATTGCTATGATGCAGTTCGGTAAAATTCTTTGACAATTTTGAAAATTCGGTCAGATCAAACGCTACGCGGAAAATGTCTGATATTGGTATTTTCGAGTTCAGGATAATCGTATCTATCGATTTGATGCGGTTTTGGCCGTATTGCTATGAGACAAAAATTTTGGTCGTGGGCTCTCGTACTATCTAGCAGTAATGACGTATAACTTGACAGAAATGTATTTGTGCAGTAGGTCGACAGCAAATGGCGCATGCCTGAGTTTGTCATCGGTCGTGAAAGATGCCGACATTTTGTTACACTTATGCGAATCACTATTTTAATTTGTTTTAAGTATTATTTTTCAATATACAAATATTAACTTTAACATTTGATTCATCTACGTCTGCAATTTACATTCTAATCACGAAAATCTCTAGTAGTGATGACGTTTAACTTAATACCAACGTATTTGCGCAGTAGTTCGACAACAAACGGCGCATGCCTGATTTTGTCACCGGTCGTGAGAGATGCCGACATTTTGTTACACTTATGCGAATCATCACTCACTATTAAATTATTTTTAATGATTATTTTTCAACACAACTATTAACGTTAACTTTATTGCTTAATCTATGACTGCATTTTACTTTGTAATCACGAAAATCTCTAGCAGTGACGACGTTCAACAGGACACAAAAATAGTTGCGCAGTAGGTCAACAACAAACGGCGCATGCGTGACCGCTGTCACCGATCGTGAGAGATGCCGACATTTTGTTAACGCATGCGAATCTCTCACTATTTGAATTTTTTTAAGGATTATTTTTCATACCTAGTCCCTAATTTTCAAATAAAATATTTAATTTATGAGGCCGTTTGTCTGATTTATTTACACACGTAACGTATGTGACGCGCATGCGTACGTTTTTGATGTCAATGATGAGTCATTGAAGAAAATCATATTTTCTCTTTAATTTAACAAAAGGTTTAATTATTTTTATGTCTGTGACTGACCGAAGGTTTTTAGCTGTATAGTTATTTTATTATTTTGTATTTTATTTGAATATTTACGTAACTAACACCAACAACAGTCAACGGTAACCGACGTCGCGCATGCGTAAATCAAATTTCGTCATAGATGACTCATGAAAATTACTTTTATACCTAGTACTGCGCACTTAAAAACTTATGTTTTTTCTAATCACGAATTTTAATTTTAATAATGCAATCTGCTTACTAAATAGTTTTGATGTGTGCTTAATTACGGCGTCATATTTCCTTGTGTTCACAACCGTTGTTTTGTGTCAAACTTTATTTACAAAAAAAAAACTTTATTTATTTTTCTATATATTTATGTTACTTCCACTTGTATTTCTATTAATAGTATCTTGCCAATTTCTAATTCCCGATCAATACTTGACCCCTCGCGCATGCGTATAATGCGTCCCTGATGAGTCATTGTATTGCGCATGTGAAAATTAATATTTTATGGATTCCGTATTCGAAAAAAAAACTATTTAAATCACCGTGAAATAAGTTTTTTTTTATATAGTTAATTGCAATATTTCAAAGTTGATGCTAAACTGCGGTAGTAAATTGTGAAATCTGATAAGATGAATTAATTAAAATGAATTTAACTTTAAGAATTTCAAACACTTTTCATTGTAAATAATGGTTTTGAGGGATTCTGGGTAAAGCATAAGAGTTGGAGTATGTTAATTTAAGAAATCGCAATAGCACACTTTAATTTACTTTACAAACAAGCTTTCTAAAACAATCAGAGGCTATTGCGTGATAAAAAAATAAATCGCTTTTGCAACGTAGATGTTTCAAACGTATATTAAAAAGTCGCTTTTAAAATCGCGCTAAAGTTTTTGAATTTACTGTTACTGTTACTCACTTCGGTTTTCAATTAATTTGAAGGAGGTTTGAAAAGCTATCTATCCACTTACCTTGAAATTCCCAAGAGACCGCGCACCCTGGCAGCCCCGGAGACGACCCGAGCGAAAATGGACGAGTTAATTGCTTTCGTCTGGGGATATTGATTTCGCGAGATGCGCAGTGGTTACCGCGCAGGTGCGCAATAAATTCTCCCCTCGGTCCGGTCGGTGAATCAGAAGGGTTGGTGGTGCTACGCGCGCGCTAGCGACATCTAGGAATGTTCCCGAGTACTAAAAAGTCCCGAGACGAGCGCGGTAAAGCTGGAGTTTCCTGGAATGCTTTATGGTGCGTTTTGGTTTACCTGGTCCGGGGTAGATGGCGTGCTTCGGCTGTGCGAGCCGATCCCCTTGCGTCCGCTAGCACCGCGACGCCTCACTTTGCTGCTCATAGGTGGCGGCATGAGGTGATCTTCTTTCTATGAATCGGAAAGTATCATGTTACAGTATAGAAAACGTTGACTGGCAACAAATTATTAGCATTAAACAGTAGATGTAAGAAAATTTAAGTAGTAGGTATGTACAAGGTGATAAAATACCCAAAATATGTCCGTTAATTATATTTTCTTTCAGTCACAGTGGTTTAAGCGTGAAAAGGTAATAGACAGACATAGTTTATTAGTAGAAGGATAGACGTGTGGATTTATCCGACGATCTAATGAAGATCGCGAGAAGCGCCTGAGTGCGGGCAGTGCAGGATCGGTCTTTGTGGTAATCTTTGGGTCTTTGTCCAGCAGTGGACGTCATTTGGTTGAAACTTATTTATAACTAGCTTTCCGCCCGCGGCTTCGCCCGCGTAGAATTTTGTCTTTCACAGAAAAACTTTAGCACGCGCATTCGTTTCAAAAATCAGGATAAAAACTATTATGTCCTTTCACGAGACTCAAACTCAAACTATCTTTATGCCAAATTTCATCAAAATCGGTACAGTGGTTTTGGCGTGAAAGAGAGACAGACAGACAGACAGACAGAGTTACTTTCGCATTTATAATATTAGTATAGATAGTATAGATTCCTTAAGTATAGTTATGGACGTGTCTGGATATCATTGGATCAGGCCTACGTTCAGCAGTGGCCGTTCTGAAATGATGATGTGTCTGTCTGCATTGAAAATACGTACTGGAATGTTATCAGCGGAGCCCCAAGTCTTGTGCAGCTCTCCATCATCAGACCTCCTCTCCTCGCGGTCCCTCGCAGACTTGGGTATATAAGCCGACGCCCTAGTCGCTCCCACGCCTAGGAAATTGCTGAACGCCTCGGTTGTTTTCTTCACACGAACATTGAGGGACCCGATGCGTAAAAATCCCTCTTTTTCTGAAACACATTAATTGAACATTAAGTGTTGTGTAGAGAAATGAGTTAGGTAAGAATACTGTTTCTAGTGGGTTGATAAATAATAATTTGTATTAAATATACTTTTGATGAGAATTTTTATACACGTTCGGAGTTGTTAGCAATACATTTGAATTTCATAGCCGGTTTAAGTGCCTACAGTTTGTATTGTCGACAGGACAAATTAAACTTTCATGTTTTTTTTTGTTTACAATAATAATCGTTTCCCATTAGATGCCAGTATTAGTAATTAATATACGTGCATTTTGCAGATTATCATTATATAGAAAATAACAATAGCTTTCTAAGAACAGATATAGATAAGTTTGAGGTACAAGTCGAAGGCAAATAAATGTTTTATGCAATAGGTATCCCAACTAATATTATAAATGCGAAAGTAACTCTGTCTGTCTGTCTGTCTGTCTGTCTGTCTGTTTTAATAACTATTTAATTATAAAATTTACATTTTGAAATGACATAAGACAATTTTTACTTTTATTTAGGCACACTGTCACCTTACATTTTTCACAAACTATGAAACATTTCAGCCAAATGACGTCCAGTACTAGACAAAAGCCTCCTCCGAGAATTTCCTTAACGACTGATCCCGCGCTGCCCGCATCCAGGTACTGACGTGACCTGCACCAGATCATCGGTTCACCTAGTGAGGGTCCTGCCCACACTACATCTTCCAGACCATGGACTGAAACGATTAAAGAATTCCCCTTACAACCTGGAAACGTACAACGTGTTCTCGTAGTTAACCATAACGGGGAGTTGTCGATGCCATCAGTCCTGCTGGCGTCTTTGGCTTTTGGCTTTTTTTCATCCTTTACTCCAGCATATCAGAAACGAATGACAATCATCATCATCATCATCATCATTTCAGCCACAGGACGTCCACTATTGAACATAAGCCTCCCTCAATGATATCCACATCGCCCGGTTGGTAGCGGCCTGCATCCAGCGCTTTAGTCCTGCTACCTTTATGAGGTCGTCGGTCCACCTTGTGGGTAGACGTCCCACGTTACGTTTACATGGCCTCCACTCCAGAACTCCCATCCCTTCCCTGACCCATCGGCTGTCAGTTCTGCGTACCTACTATGTGCTCTGCCCATTGCAACTTCAGCTCGCTAATCCGTCGGGCTATGTCAGCAGCTTTAGTTCATTTATTGATATCTTCATTTCTGATTCGAAATATGCCCAATTTCAGTTTCTGTAACTCTTTTTGCGTGTCATCATCTGAAATCAATCAAGTAATATATTTACCCTTATTGCACAGTGACCCATATCAGGCACATACAAATAACATCCAAAATATGCGTTGATAGTAGCTGATATCAAAAAATACTTATTTAACAATAAACTAGAAACAATAACTTACCCCTTTTATATTTTTTCGAAAGAAAACATTGTAATTTTAACTTTTTTTCCCAAGAGTAAAACTTTACTAATAAACTTTTTCACAAACTGACCGACTTTTTCGACTGCAAAACAGTTTACTGAATGCAGCGCTTCCGTGGCGACAAATGTGAGCTATTTTGTTATGTGCTATAGTGTGTAGATAAGGTACTTTCTAATAGATGGCATTAAATAGCATCGTGTTACGAAATATAGGCAATAATTTGGTATGTACCATATGTGTCCCACTATGCGCTGTAGGGTTAAGATACGTTTGTTTGTCTGTAACCAGTATAACGTTCGGATATCATGTTAATTAAGCTGCAAACTTTTACAACAACACATGCTGACCCAAGGCTACGCCTCACAGAGAAAAATGCTTTTATTATATGTATGTAGGTAGATAGACTAGCTGTGTCCACGACTTCGTACGCGTGAAAATAGTTTTAACAATATTTCCCGTTTTTGTTTCGGTAACAAGCGCGTCTCGAAAGTTTTAGGATACGTTTGAACAAGGGTTCTACTAATAAAGTAATAGCAAAATATTTATTTATATTTTTCTTGCAATTACTTTCATGTGCACAAACACCCCTGAGATGGGTGTTGTTTTACAAAACCACACCCTGTATAGCCTAAAGCCTTCCTCGATAAGTAGGCTATCCAAAAAAAGTGTAGATTGTAGATAGCAAATTGCACGTCATTTTATTTTTAGTTGTGTATTGCATTTAAAGATTAAACAGTTGCTTGGTCCGGGTAATTAACCAAATATGAAAAAAGAAACCGTATTTCTAAAATACCGATCGAGGGGAACAATTTGTTCAAGTAACACGGTGTGTTGTTAGATTAGAGCTGTGTTTTTTTTCGTCGATCGATCCGAATTCCAGATGAGGCAAGCATTTCTTTTAAATTGCTGTATTATTTAATTTTTAAAATTAAATTAAAGCCTTCCCTCGAGCGGCATAGCCGACAGACACTATTAATGTTTAATTAATTTAACTATAGATAGTGACGTATTGATTTCCATTTATCCGAATCGACGAATCGACGTCACTACGTATCAGGTATTATTAGTATTATTATGAAAATCTGAAATTAATGTGTCGATCGAGGTATGTGTTGATTAACTTACCGCATACTTTTTATCATTATAATTAAAATAATACTTATTTAAGAAAATCTCTATAAGAAATCCAAGCCCCGGTGTTGAAAAAATTACAAATATTTTTGCAACTTTCCGTGTTACAAAGTGTTATATTGCAACAAGCAAATTATTTCCAAGTGAAAAATGCAATTTCTGTGCAAAACGTTTGGTACACAAGTGGACATTCTGACGTTCTAGTTGCCTTACTTGACATGTCAACAATGGTGTTAAGTAGGGAGTTTGGAGTGGTTCGTGAATCCGGTTGGGTCGGAATTGTACGTCCGACGTCAAGCTTGTCGGCCTCTGCAAGATAACGACTGGGTAGATGATGTTGTATTTAAAAAACGTAGTACTAATCCATTTGAATCGCGTAACTTCATCATCATTTCAGCCATAGGACGTCCACTGCTGAACATATTCCTCCCTCAATGATTTCTGCCTGCATCCAGCTCCTTCGTGCTACCTTTATGAGGTCGTCGGTCCACCTTACCATCGCTAACTAGCTTACTGTCTGTATATTAGCAGAGCAAAATTCTAAGATTTCCAAGGAGCTACATAATGACTGTACTGCACTCGCGAGAAAAAATATGGAATCACCTATTTATTCCGAGCGATCATAAGAACTAATAGACTAATATAAGATCAATAAAAATGGTACCATTTTAAAGAAGATATAATAAACTTAAAATTGATATCATAGATATAGCCTGACCAGGAACATAAAAACCCTGGCATAGAGGCGCGTCAATTGCATTTGATAGTGCAACACTGAGTACAGTCGTACCTGTGTTAAATTAATCGGCTAACTTTATGTATCAGGATTCAGGATTACGGGCTAATTTGATATTTTCATAAATTAACGAAAAAATATTATTATAGGTAACCTGGTTTAAATAAATTAAATGAAACCATCAATCGAGCTAGTAGGATTTATTTTATTATTGATCAATAATCAAATTCAGAACTTGAATATTTGTGCACGACGGACGGCCCCGGATAGAAATTTAAATAGTTGTAAATAGTTTTCGTTTTGTTTCAATTTTGTATCGTTTTTATTTCGTTTATATAGTTTGACAGTAAATAGTTTAACTTCGTAATACAGTCCACTTTTTTCTCAGTTAGATCTCAATTAGTAATGTGTCGAGTCCTTTTAATTACTGATTAATAGGCGTATGTGGGACGTTGGAGATGTATAAATCATAGTTTATTTTAGAAAACCATAGAAATGTATAATTTGATAGCCCTTTGTTTTATGTATATCGATTAAACCTGTAATTTCGTCTAGTTATGTATGTCGAGTCATATTTATAATATGTAAATTAGATAGATAATTATGTGTAGATCTTTATAGTTATTTACTTTTAATTGGTGATAATCTTAATTAGCCATAAAGGCAATTAATGTAAAATAGTGTGGCCAAATGAGCCCTAATTTTTGTACAAATGATTTATTTGTAATTAACCCTGTACCTGTGTACCTTTATTTACCTATCGAATAGTAAGAAGTAATTTGTCTGAAAATAAATAAAATAGATTCCAAAGAATAGTGGAAGAGCTAATTAGAATCCGATAAGAATTAGGTCAAGGTCATAGTTAAAAAATAGGTCACCGAATAGATAAAAAACAGGCTCTCTATACGGTATTGCCGCCCAGGGGGGGTCAAAATTAGAAAGAGAGGGCAATAGATTTGCTGTTTCATTAGAGCGAGAGGCAGCTAGGTTTTCTCACTCTAATGAAAGTAAATAAATATCGGGGTGCCATCCGTACCCAGTCAGTTCCGCGTTTTCTCCTCAACAAGCTACAACACCAAGCTCTCGCCACTGCTCCGAGGAACCGGTCACAGTCTCAACCACAACCGAGTTATCATTTCTGCGCTCCCCGCCCCCTTCGTCTCGCTCTCCCGCTCGCGCTGCACCCCGCATCGCGCCGTGTCGGCGTACGGTATCAAGGGTCCGCACAGGGTTGCAACCCCATACCGTCCGGCACAATATTCAACTGCAATGTCTGCTCATGAACGCTTCAAAGTCGGTACTTCTGTCCCAATTCCATAAAATTCAACACTTAGAAAGTGACAAAAAACTTTAAAATATTTAGTTGAAACAAACTGCAGCTAATGTTCATANCTCCCGCTCGCGCTGCACCCCGCATCGCGCCGTGTCGGCGTACGGTATCAAGGGTCCGCACAGGGTTGCAACCCCATACCGTCCGGCACAATATTCAACTGCAATGTCTGCTCATGAACGCTTCAAAGTCGGTACTTCTGTCCCAATTCCATAAAATTCAACACTTAGAAAGTGACAAAAAACTTTAAAATATTTAGTTGAAACAAACTGCAGCTAATGTTCATAGTGGACTGTACTATATGATAAACATGTCAGTCAATTTGACAACCTTTGTCGAAAACATTATTCAATGAAAATATTGTCCGAACCCTTAGTATTTCTCTTCGACAAATACTTTAAAACATTGTGAACCACTTTTCTTTCACGACTATAAAAAGATTTTAGCAATTTCATTCACTGTCAATGTCATTCACATTGACAGCAATAGACTGACATGCAAGGTGACATGTTAATGAAGTTTTCAGTTACTGTTGCCATTAAAAGAAATTAGTACCATTAGTTTTCCGCAACATGGCGAGGGTTTTTATGTTCCTGGTCAGGCTATACATACAATACATAGTCATTCAGTTCTTAAGACCGCTCGGAACATAAAGGGGTGATTCCATATTTTTGCTCGTAAGTATAGTTTGGCGGGTATACTAAAGTTTTCTTTTGATTTGGGCTTGAATCTCTCCAACATCAGTGATGTTTTCTCTTGGTCTTGGGACCACGGTTTGGTAAGCGGCGGTGACAAGAATGAAAGACGACTCTTCATACATTTCACCTGAACAAATCCTTTGTTGCGTATCATAAATTATAGTTAAGATTGGAATGAAAACAACACCAACCCACTAATATTTATTGAGCATTGTCTAGCTTTATTAAGTTTTTATCTACTTACATCTTACGATAGATTAGCTAGATCATTTTTTTTTATTAACTGGTATTTTGCTACCAGAATCAATGTTTTTTTTTTAATTGGATGTTGTTATTATTAGGTTACTTTTATTAAGTTTTGAGAGAGTAGGATAGTTTCTCGCAATTTTCTACGAGCAAACTGAAAAAGACATTGATGCGAGACAATATTTACAAATTAGAAAGGTATTTACAAAAAAAAAAAAAGTATTTAAGTATGTTTATATCCGTTGTCTAGTACCCATAGTACAAGCTTTGCTTAGTTTGGGACTAGAAGCGCAGTGTAAAATGTCTAAGGATATTTATTTATTTATTTATTTATTTATTTATTGTATTTTGTACGTTGATGGTGTGTTTTTGCTCCTCTATCACCTTTTATAAGGAATATTTCGAATCAACAGTAACCCCGACGTATATTCCGTACCCATAATAATTAGCGCTAATTGGTAATTAGTATAAAAAAATGTATTCATTAGACAAGAGTTATACAATTTTCTCGTTTTTTCCCGCAACAAACAGTAGCGTTATACCGCGCAAAACAATATGCCGGCTCTATTCATCTCACTCACTCGCTAGGATCTTATTTATGATTAACGGGATCGTCTTTGTGTAATATTTAGTTATTCGTTTGTGAAGAAAATCCGACAATAAGATATTATGAAACGATAATTACGGATTTACTCTATCACGTTACGTTATTAAAGACTAGTATATACTTACTTCGAAAGCATCCAGGTGATAATGAGGTATCCATATGAACTAGGTACTGCCTCGGTTTTCTTCCAGACCAATCGCGGACGTTTGGGTCAGCATCTGTAGTAGAAATAGTTAATTTAAGTTTATTAATTTGACATAAATGGATCATATAATTTATATTTCAAATATCGTTATAAAATATGTAACAGTTTATGTTGCGATGTCCTTCTGTCTGACGATGTGTGATGTTAGAACGAACTAGTATTATACGAAGCGGTTACCCGACGAACAACTCTGACGATTTGCAGGAAAGCTCTGTTCGTTGGAACATCGAGATTGGTGTCAGGATTTACACTAGCAAGAGCTCGAAAATTCTAAAATACTCGACAGTCGAGTATTTGACATTTCCTATACATATAATATACCTAGTAATGATTCAAAAATAAATAATTTAAATAGGTAAACGATTTGATTGTTTATGATTATGGTTCGAAATTGGAATCATTTCTATTTACCCGTAACTGTTATGTATTACGATTTAAAGAAGTTTAACGGTTCATATAATATTAGTTAATTAAGTACATACCATACACTTCAACCAGGAGCCTGTACACATTTTCATGGCGAAACTGCATTGCAATGTGAAGTGGTGTATATCCCTGTAAAATTGTTATTGTCAGGAACTTTCTAGAATAACCTAATAGAGTTTCAGTTTTAATATCTGGATAGTTCTCAGAACAACGTCGTATCCTATCATATCGCAACTCAACAGCTACTAGTTTGGAGGATATATTGGAAATTGGCCTTTATTTCTATTCCCGCTTTGAATAATTTTAGTAGTCTGCACGCACTATTGGCGTTTCCGTCAATCGCAACTATGGTCTGAATCGATTTTATCATGGTTGAAATATGATAAGTATAAGCCTGCGTCGTCGGCTGTAGCGAAGTGCTAAATTTACGTACGCATATGCTGTTGTGGTAGCTGGGATCGTTATCGAGGAACCCAGGGCAACGATGCATGAGCCGATAGGGTATGATAATAAAATCAAACGAGAGCAAATATTTTCCATGTTCAAAACGTATCTCGGCATCGGGTGAAGGATAAAGACGTGAAAATAAGATTGCTTGTTTATAGATAAAGGGAAATTCAATAAATATTAAAGCATAATGAGAAATATAGTTAGCTTAGTTAATTTATCGAACAGTCACTAGAGGGATAAGTATGTCTTTTATTTAGTCGTTTGATGGACAATAAATCTCTTTGATTAAGTATGTTGCAGTCAAAACTCATAATCAGTCAAAACCACTTTTTACTGCAAATATCAGTCTAAATTCATACGAAGTGTTATGATCAGTGAAAATTACTTGGAAATCATCAACACCTATGTTATAAAACCAGTTTAAAGTCTAACTTTGATATGATTTGTGCATACAACGTGATCACACTTACCTTAGGTACCACAGTAATGTTGTTTTGTATTTATCATATTTTTAAGAAATCTAGTTGTTTGTCAGACAAAATTATAAGTAAAATCTTTACTTTGTATGAAGTTTGGACTGATTGGTAAAATTTTAAATCAGGCGAAAGCATTTTTGACTGATTTTTTGCAATCAAAAGTGGTTTTGACTAACGCGCTTGTTCAAAAGCACCTTTGACTGAAAAAATCTGTCAAAAGCGATATTGACCAAGGGCCTAAACCACTTTTGACTGATCTTTGCAGTCAAAAGTGGTTTTGACCGATTATGAGTTAATTAACAATTATACAGATAATAAGACCTCAAAACGATTATTGGAGTTTAAAAGATCTTTAAAAGATCAAGATGAGAAGAAGTTTAAAAGTACAATGTAGGTAACATTGTACTTTTAATTAATTATTTATTAAGAATTGGGTTTCGCTAAATATGGAATATGAAATATGTATATTATCTAGCTAGGGACTGATGTCCGTCGGCAAATAACCGACTATGGTACATCATTGCACCTTAGATAACTGTTTTTACTTCCATGTAAGTTTTTTTCTAAAATAATTGCTTATATAGGAATATAGAAATTTGATATATTCGTAGTAAACCGAGACTCTAATAAATAAATATGAAAGCACAGTAACTTTAACTAAGGTATAAACGATTTACATTAAAAGTAACGTAAATCTACCATACAGTGTAGGTACAGTAAGGGTGCACACGCATCTGTTCCCTCTGAGCTTATCGCCTCGTGATTTCTAATATTTATACTGAATATGGTTCGGGGTCGATATTAAACTTGCTGGATATTATTGAATATATAGCGAAGCGACAGCTGCTAAACTTGTGAAAATACGGCGTGTAATATAAGAGTTCTTTGTTTTAGTTTCAATACTAGGTACTAATAATGTTAGATTTGTACTCATTTGAGGTTTATTTCCAAATGATTTTGACTTATTTTTACAACCTGTGTTCGATAAATGTTCTGAAGCTGCCGTTTTAACGATATTAATTTATAGGCATGAACAGTCTTGTTTTCGCGTCAGTCCATTTACAACTTAAATATTGAACAGTATATTCCTATAAAATTATTGGAATGTTTTTATTGTTTATCAAGTACTGCCATAATTATTATTCAATTACTCATCGCTTCAAATTAATAAAAAGCATTCAAGTGAAACCCTGAGAATCCACAAGTAGCCAGTAGTCAAGCAATAAAATCGTGTAGAACTTACCCCATTCTGATCGTGTGATGGCGCCCCAACACCACATGAAAAAGTGTAATGACACTTTAACGATATCGTTAAACTGGCAAAATAACCAACGGTAAGTAAATTTGATTGGGTATTAAAAGTAGGAGGCAGTAAAAGACTGCCAAGCACGGATGTAAACACGTTGTGGCCCTGATCCCCTTCTAGTTAATTGTTGAGTATTTTTATGATCACTACCAATGGGAAATGGAACCATGAATAGATCTTGGGGCCATAGCTGACACAAATCAAGTATGAAGCTACGAAGCTTTGGCAAGCTTTTACGGTCTGCTTAAATCATATCTATATTAGTTTTACGAGTATAAACAATAAACATGTAATAATTCATAATATGACGGCAGGATAACTTTTGGCCATGTATTATAAATTATTAAATGTTTATACTAAACTTTTCTTTAATTACGTCTTAATAAAAATGCAAAGCTGAACTCAATCGTCATGTAAGACTTATCAGAGAACGAAAATAAATTCGGAAGTTTTTATTAATAATAAATGCCAATAAATTGTAAACGGCATGATTTCAAATCATTAGTTTTTTGGAATTTGGAAAGTGTCTTTGGATCTAATTTAGTTTTGTGTTTGTGTTAAGTTTTTACAAAATTAATGTTTATATCACATTAATTAATCAAATTGATAAACATTAATTACTTCTTCTATATTTTAGGTATTAGCGCATCAAATAATAAAACAATAAAGAATTGTGAGACGTTATTGTTCCAATATATTTAGGTAGCTTTAAATCATTGAGCCGGTGAGTCTCATCTCACTGCTATATCGAAGAGTTCACAGTTTTAGTCGTATTATATTTTATTACTCTGATAAATTTTATCTGTCTTTAGAAATTACGACCCTAAAAATATAAATTAAAGCAACTTCATTGGCTAAAACTAGAAATGATAAGATCTAGCGGATGTTCTTCATTAAAATAATTAAATCTTAAACAAGTAAGCACCTAATCACGCTGAATTTTATTTACCTAAAGAAAGGTCCACACAAGGGTATAATATAATATTATATTGGTCTCCTTAACCTCTTCTAAAATCTTAATAAGTAATAACTAACAACGACATTAATTGTGACTTTGCTACACCCTTACAGGGTCAATGTATGAATTCATGTACGTCTGTATGAGCTGAATATGTTAACGCAAATGAATAAATAAATAATTTCATATAAGCATAGTTTTTAATAACTTAAGATAACCTCGCCACAAATCTATGACACATTGACTATCAAAATTTGTACGCGAATGGAACGGCAAAGATATGCAAGGAATGGTAGAGGCCACTATTTCTTGGCGTCCTCAGTTTGATTTTTAAATTTTTATTGAGGTTCTCGCGGCTTCTCCCGCGAAAAATCTTATTCTGATGTAAAAACAATAATGCCTACCTACTTAATGTAAATTATTAACATATTTTTTTTATAAACTTTCATATTATATTAGAAGGATTATTATATTATATTATTTCATATTATATTAGCGTACCATCCCTATATTGTTGACATTCCACCAGCTCGCACTAAGCGTTTCGATGACTCTTTTATAATGCGAACAGCTAGGGACTGGAATTCGCTGCCTGCTGCTGTCTTTCCCGAAAACTATAATCCGAGCCTTTTCAAGGCGAGAGTGAAAAGGCACTTACAGGGCAGATATGTACCATCCTAGACCGCATCCCACTTAACATCAGGTGCGATTGTGGTCAAATACCTGCCTTGTTATGCATAAAAAAAATAAAATAAAATATTATTTATGACAATATGTCTTAACTATACTCACCGATCGTTCATTGACTAAATGACGAGCCGCTCCGGCCAGTAACTTGACCAAATTCTCATCGCCTCGCTTGCAGGCCCAGTGCATCGCCGTCTGAAATATGGATAAAACAAATTAACTTTATTACTACAATGTTCCTATTTCAAGGGATCAATAAAGCAACAAACTGATTAAAAGAGAAATCAACAAACTACACAATTTCCTACCAAACGCTACAATACCGGTTAAAAATTATTACGTGATCCAACATAATAATAATAAAGGAAGGCGAAAATAGCATGAATATATAAAAAATAGTCACGCAATTTTTATCGAAAACAACAAACAAACGTGAATTTGGTTGAAGTAGTAAAATTGGCAATATAATCAAGGTGTAATTTTGAAGTCGATGCCAAATTATGAAGTAAAATATTCAAAACCTTAAACACGATACCATCACGGAAAGTTTAGTAGGTCGAGAAACAAATTACTTGATTGCCAGCCTTTTATTTTTATATATGTAAAACACTTTGATGGACAATATAATGCTGAAATTATAGCTCTTTATAATCGGAACGTATTAGAATGATTTGCATCCAGATTAAAGATTATATTTTGGTGGAGGTAGGTGTTATTAGCATAGTTATAGGAATTAACTTGCTATCATCGGTGGTCATTTTAATTTTTAAAATGTTATGGTAACCATATTATAATTCGAAACAACAGGTGATTAGATAAAAGATTAACTTTAAATAGCAGTGCTGTCTGACCGAACTTGAGGTTTCAAGACTAGTTTATAATAGTGAAGTAGACTTGTGATTAAGCGATTTGGTAAGTAATATTCGTGTTATTAATGTAAGTATTTTTAAATTAAAAATAACGTTGATTGATATTGGTTGACTTAAAAAAAGTTCTTTTCATCAAAACCGACTGGAAAGCTTATGGGTTTCTATTTCCTTTGACATTTATAGCCCAGTAATATAGCTTTACATAGTCGGCATAAAAAGCATTTAATTGAATCATGAAGTTTTTTATTTGGAACGCAAATTATAAAATGTAATTAATTGAATTACAATTTTAATTATAGGATGTATCGAAGAAGATGACTGTAATTTATTTGATATTCCCCCGTAACATTAGATCTAATTTCCACTGGCAACCCTCAAAGGTACTGGAAGATAAAACAAGGTGTTCAGTCAGCAGTAAAGTCTTTGGGAATATATATTACTCTATCGGAGGGGCACGAGTTACGTAGCAATCGACGTATGTACAAGGTGTAGGCGTGATCGTCGCTGATTCAGTCGGGTAGTTAGTGGCGGGCGGTCCTAGGTTCGACGTCGCCGGGAGAAATATTGGCCCCCGGGGAAACGCTGTTAATTTGCAGCGCACATTCGGTACTGGCGCGATTTTCCACGTATATACGTAGGCACTATAAACCTCACATGTACCACAATCCTGTGGGGCATCGGCAGAATTCTCGTACGATCCACGCAGCACACGTAACACAAATATAAAACTAAACAACAGATTTATGGTGTAGCGTTTTGTTAACGGCTCTACTAATTGGGGTAGTTAAGCCAGTTCGTTGTTAAGACAACATTATCATAAGAAAGTAATTAACATTATACTCACATACTGCAGGTCCCATGAAATGCGGCATCATACATGCGGAAAGAAATATTTTATTAATTAGTAATATTTTCTTGATTAATTAAATAAAGAGAACTGTTAATTTAATTAGCATTTTTTCAACCTCAGCCATAAATAAATCTTTATTAGATTCGTTAGTATGTAATAAGAGTTTTAAAAAAAGTTTAATTTTTTTAAATTGAATTAGAGCGACGCTTTGGGTCGGCTAGCGACGTAATCACTTATGTATCGCTGCCTAAGCTAATAAATTTGGAGCAGGATTATGTAGTCCTCGGACGAAATAAAGCTTTATAATTTGCTCCAGATAAATCTCTCGCCTATGGAAACAAGTGACTTGATCATTTAAGGCGAGTTAAAGATATTTATGTCTTTACTTTTGAAGTTCTTAATTGGAGCAGCGTCCTTGGTGTTTTTTCATACGATCAATCTTCGCTGGCTGTCTGTTATATTGTTTATTGTTAAAATTTTATACGGAAATTTTAGAGGTCTATAAAACTGTTCTACATCCGGCCACTTTAAAGTGTAAATTGTATTAGGCCACACCGTTTTAACGTTTTAAAAAGCGATTCCGTGTTTTGTGATCGACTGCTGCATTTGCGTCGCATGTACACACCGTATGCTCACGTGATTTTCATGACACAATGAGTTTTTAAGATGTGCTGATAAATTAATGATACTTACTCATTATCGATAAGCCAAGTTGTGATTTTTAAGGAATTGGCAGACAGTAGTGAGCATGGCGTGAGCGCGGCGCGTCTTTGTTGTGATAATGTGTATGAAAATGTATGTGATTCCACACAGAAAACGTCGCGCCGTTGAATCGCGACCAGGGACCGTATTTTTTGATGCGTGACGCTTCGGTGTGAGCCGGTGCCAGCAATTCTATTGTTCAGCACCTATATTCATTGCAGTGCACGCTTATAGCATGTCCTGTGTGCCGGCAATATCCGGCTACTACCACGTATTGATTGCCTTTACGTGTACGTCAATTAGGATCCGCAGAACGATGTGTCTTCAGTGGCCCTAATTAACGTCTTGTCATTCGCTGTGTGTAATTATATGCGTAATTACTCACTATGTGTATAGTGACAGCTACGTTGATTAGTCAGTATTGATGGCTGGATTGACAACGTCCCAAGCTACATAATGTTGCTTAAGTAACACCTAAATCGAACCTACATAATACATGAATCGAGAAGATGATTCTGTAACGGAACAGAAGAGATTAATCTTTAAAAAAAATGAATCAAATGAGCTGGAATTGCTCAAATTACCAATAAAACACAGGCTATACCTAAACGCCCAGAAGTTCCGTAGCGTTTACGTTCTAATCTAAAATAATAACGGGTTGAATTTAATTAATATATCTATAAAACATCTCTTCATCTAACTTTGGATGATCATGAGATGTTAAATTATATTACCTACTAATTATAATTATCTATAAGCTGCTCAGACAGCTAATTTAAAGAGCGTCATCATCAACTTCTCTTCGTGTCTCGTATACTTATGACACGATAAAAACATCGCATTAAACTTGATCACGCTAGTGATTTTTTTCGCCAATTAGCAATTATAAATTATAAATAGTCGCTCCTATCAGTACCTATTGAGTATGCATGCATCAAGCTTTTTATAAAATAAAAAGGTGAAAATACTTACGCCCTGTTGAAGTCACCCGCCGCAATGGTGGTGTTCCGGGAAAAAGGAATTCATTATAAAATCTTTATAGTTAAAACATACGATATGTTCGCATAATACTGTATTACAACCTACATTATACTAACTAAACATAACATCATTAGAATAATAATAAAAAAAAAAAAATCTCAACATGTAAACTTACCGTAAAGTATTAACATTTTTGATATAGAAAATAGACCGACTTCACGTCAATTTTAAGGTCAGTAATATTATGTGAGTTCTCAATGCATTACCGTGCAATAACTTACCGTAAATGGGTCCTGAAACAAGAGAAAAATAAATTAGAAGTCGTCAATTTTCGAGACATTATGAAATAATTTAGGTTGTGTCTGAACGTATAAATGTTTTTAAATTCGCTTTTATCTTTAAAAAGCCAATAAAGTTTATTTTTATGGTGAATTTTAATCAATTACACGCGTATATCGCTCACACGACAACACTTACGCGGAGGAGCAGATTAACCATTAAAACTTTCGGAGCAGTTCCCATAATGTACGCCCAGACGCTCGTGAGTACCGAATTACCTACTAAACTGTAAAAAACGTAGATAAAAGTGAGGGCTGTGCATATTCCCATGATTCTGAGACGGTCCGACGCGTTTTAATGCACCCATAATCGTCGATCGATGGAGGATCATATGAAATATGTAATACCGCTAATAGGTCTCGGTGGGCAGCTTCCTCAGCGGTCGCTGGGCCAATTTCGCCGTTCGTAATAACCTTAATATCCCTTCAGTGCTATGCGCCATGCGTGTACAAAGATGAGCCAAGGTAATTGTTCGACGCCCGACCGCCTCCGCGATTGATTTTACCTTTATTCAATAATGTTAAATTAACCTTTGTACAATATGATCGGTAACGGTCTTACATTCTGACAGAGTATGGGTTTAGATTAAAGCGTTTGACATAGACTAATAAGAACTAATATTTTAAGTAAATAATAAAATACAATCTATACATAATCTGCTACCGGCTACCGCTCCATGGGATAATTGTATCGGTATCCTGTACAAAACCGCAAGCCAAAGGAACCAATATTGAGGTTTCGGTGAAATTGCAAGAATTTTGTGAATCAGACGGAGTGAGTTATTTATAATAGTTCAGACACGAACAGATTGAATATATTAAACGGATGAACGCACATAACATGCTCGTTTATCGTTACATGCGTGTTTTCGACAAATTAATCTCCTATTTGGCTTAATTGTTAAGCTCACAATTTCACCGAAAATATCATCTTTGATAATTAACTTTTAAAAAAAATAAAACCGACTTCAAATGCGTGAACACAAAAAAAACTAAAAATTAAAAATATTGCGTATAAAAAAGTTCAACCCCAATTTTCCACCCTTGGGGGTGAAATATTTTCTTCAAATTCGCATGAAACCACCCTTTTGATAATACCTATTCAACAAAAAATTTATCGTTCAAATTGATTAATAATCGGCGGAGATATTGCGTATAAAAAAGTTCATCCCCAATTTTCCACCCTTGGGGGTTGTTTTTTTTATTATTAAATTTAAATGGGACCACCCTTGAGGTATTACCTATACGCCGAAAAAAGATTTGTTCAAATCGGTTCATAGTTGGCGGAGTTATCGCGTAACAAACATAGAAAAAAAAAAAACATACGGGTCGAATTGAGAACCTCCTCCTTTTTTGAAGTCGGTTGAAAAATAACACTTGCTAATTTAGTGAAAACACATTTATCTCAATAAACCGAAGAGTTTCAAGATAAACATTCATCACAACATCATTAAATAATCAGTCACGGGCCGTCAAAATGTGTGCCGGCTGACTGTACCCGCGCATATGGACAGAAACGCGTTGAATGAGAATTTCTAAAATAAGATGCAATTTATTATCGAAAGCATTGCAGACGCAGTGACGCAAACATTCGTCGACAGTTATTAAGCGGTAGAACACTGCATCAGGATGAGCCCGACGAACATGATCCGGCCGAGGATATTGTGCTACCAGCATTTGAAACTAGTACATAAATCAAACCACAAGACAAATAACATCGCATTAATACTCTTTTTCCAGTATCTTTTTACCTGTCACCGTTACTAACCACATTAAAAAGGAGACTGATAAACGAAAATCAATTAACAAAGTTGTCTTGCATTTAATTTGATAATTCGAAACGGAAGGTTTAATAATGTCGCGCCGAATTAAATTATTCCCAAACAGTATAGTTAGCAATTACAAACATTAATGTTTTCAAAAGAACCGTCCGATATCGTAAAATTGATAGCATTTAAATTATGTACACGATGTTTTTAATGAGCATAATGACAAAGTGTGTACAATCGAAACGCATGGAATGAGTGCGTTCTGTCAAAATATTGTGAATTTAATTGGAGTTTGGTTGTTGCGGGCGCGCCCGAGGTTATGTCGTTAATAGAGCGTTGTGTCTCTTCATTTTGTTTGAACGTTCACTGACTCTGTTATTTCGGAGCGACTAATAAATTGCGTGATGACAGGTGTCAGCTGCTCCACCGCCTCTGCACTCTTGCGTCGATGTCTCATTCCTCACGTTCTACTTCTAAATTCTCTTATTTCATCAACGCCCCGTTCAATTTTCGTTTCGTTCTCTCGTCATTCTATTTGTTTGTTTTAGCATTATCGTCGTTGGTTGTGCTAATCTGTTTGCTCGAAGTGCCTACCTACACATTTACATTATTCTAAGCTGTGTCAATTTGTTTCTCTAAAAACTTACACAATTAACTTTTGTGAGTGTTTTCAGGAATGTAACATATTTTTCATAGTTACTTATTTCGGACATTTTGTTTCAGAATGTATAAAAGCACCTTTGTTAGAGACTTTATTGCTTATTCTATAACCTAAGTACTTAGTAGGAAGGGCTTTCTAAAACTCATTTTGAATTCTATTAAAATAAACCTTAAGGGGAAAGCAAGTACCTAATAGGAATGTAGTATGTAAAGATTTAAAAATAAGACAAAAATCCCAAGTTAAAGTTACGAGTTACATTAGCAAATTAATTTCAGCACGCAGCACTAAAGGGGAGACAGGGACAGGCAGTTTTTGAATGCAAATAAATTAAAGGCGACGTAGAAGACAAACCCGACGAAGATTTATATGACTTACTGGCGAAAAGTAAAACACTCGGTTTATGCCATTCCAAGGCAAGGCCTCTCTCAGCTCTCCGAAGTCGTAAACTTAAATGAAACTAATTCCTCGTACCACATTATTATCATTAGCTAGTTCTCTAAATAAGTTACTTCTAGTAGAGCTGAAGAAATCATTAGAACTTCTAATCAAGTTAGGCAAATGACAGAGCTATAATTTTTAGAACAAGCTTCATAATGGTAGAGTTTAGATATCACAAATCAAAAAATATAACCACCTTCAAACATTTCAAAGTAAACAAAAGAAGATAACGAAACAGTTTTCTCCAAAAAGGAATAAGATTGAAGAATGATATGATATAAATCAAATGATATATGTATTTCTTTTTACTATCGTTAATTACAGAAGGGCGTATATAAATAAAGAACGCGAGCCCATTGAGGCGGGATGGCGAGGCGATCACCGCGCCGCGCCTTGTCGCGACAAGCAAATGCACTTATCTTACCGGGATGTGAGAAACAGTTTTCAACTCGCTGCCGTCGGTTAGTTGCGCCAGCGCGGTCTCGTCCGACCGCTTCGAGTCATTGCCTCCAGAGGTTACGTTTGAACAGGATTTGGGGACCCAAGTACCCAACAAATAAAAAGTTACAATTCACAAAGGAGAAAACAATAACAAACAAGTCACACTTATTTTACTCCTATTGTATCTGTCTCGTTCGTGCCAAAACGTTTTCAACTTGAGGCCATTGTCGTCGCGCGTATCACTTCACTCGTTTATGGTAATACATTTCATGGTAATTAAAGAACTTATCATAACGAAGGGGAATTAGCGGCACCGATATATCATTTGATGCTCAGTTGAACCGTCGTAAAGCCGTCAGAAAGCCCACTATAAAAATAAACAGAAGTCTTTGAAACATTATCGATACAAATAAATTGTCCGACCAAGAATGAATATCAATAAATTGAAAATGTAACTCGTAAAAACATATCATCGATTATTGTAAACAGCTGGCGGGCATTTATGCAAAACGACTTGTTCATTGGGCCAATTCAACGGCGGTAGCGAAGATAGGAGAAGTTTAATTAAAACCGACATACGGATTGAACGAGCCACTTGCCACGGTAACGCTGACCGTACCAACTTTTATAAGCAAAACATAATGAAACTTAACAGCAACCACGATTACTAAGCAAAAGGGGCAACTAACACTTTACATAAATTCAAAAGTTTTGCCTCGCAAAGGCCTTTATAATATCTTGACGGGAACTTTAATTTGGGATGACGGGAACACCATTAATCTTATTACTGCATCATATACCCACCCCGTGCGGCCCTAGACAATGAGCAACAGGAAAAAACTCGGATCTGAAGATTAAGAGGTTGAGAGAGTCCTTAAAACAACAAAGGAAAAACACATCTCGAACAAGGCGAAATAGCGGGGTCGGTACTTGGGGGTTTAGGACAATCCCAACAGTGATTCTTAATTAGGAAGCCGTAATCAAAATTGTTTAGGGGTTTTACCCTATCTGTATTTAATTCTGCTCGCTCAATTGATTGTGGCAGTTAACCCGTTTCGTGGCAGCTGTGCGTAAATCTTTCTAACGGACGATCCTCAAATAAAACCACGACTCAAGTATTCGTGATAGCGGTTATCGTCTCGTTCTCATCTCGTTTTTCCTTCCATTTGGTTAAACAAATAGAGGCCTTGTTCGCTCGGTAGGCAGATCCTAATTAAAAACTATATTCAGCCTCTGCCGTATATTACGCAGATGTAGCCCTTAGGCAGTTAGTCACTCCGTCTGGCCACCTCCCAGTCGTTTAGCGTTTATGGCTTTGCCGCGACGGAAGTTGTTGTATTGTTCCTTAATCATGCTTTACGTACTCTATGCATTTGTTACGTTATTTTATTAGATGTTTACTTTGATTCGGATAAGACAGATCGTCACAAGATTTTAGAAATCAAGGCGAACAGTTAATGGGTTTTACTGGACATTTTCAATTTGTTTGAGCGTAAGGTATTTATGTCAGTAATTATAAGACTTGCGATGAATAAGATACAATATAAAAAAGCTTAGTGTTATAAGTGTTATCAAATCTCTATGATGGACAAACCGTCTAACGTCCTACTAATTAAAATCACATCAACAAGTAGGTACATACAATC